GATATTCATCTCGAATTTTAACAGAGTTCGAGTTCCCTCACATGGTGCAGTATACTTCACTCTACGTCGTGAAAGGTTCTTCCAGGAGGCTATGCTAGATTGAGATTGATGTTAAGTATTCTTTGAGATAGCAAATCAATGTGCACAAAAGTGTTGTTGTATTCGCCGCCAGTTCGAAAGAACATTCCCAGAACAGAAAAAAACACCCATGTGCTAATAGTGACCACACGCAGGGGTTCGATACTGCAATCTTCCGATTAATGCAAGTCGTAGGCAGACGCGATGCCATTTCGCCAGGCGGCCTGAGCTTTTGGACTTACTACTTGTCAAATATTCATCGTGAGCGCCTGTCCGAATTGAACAAAAGACCACTTGGCTATACAATTCTTCCGAATGAAAGATTCTTAAAGTCCTGTAACTTCCCCTGTTCCTTACGAGGTCTGGGCGACCCATCTACCACATGTCCTTCTCCTTCCTCTACAAACATAATTACGCAACGTCCACTTTTCCTCATTCTCTCTCCTTAGCAACCCAGGAGACCTCGGGATCCTTCATTATATCGTTTGCCTCTACTCGATACGCAACATCCTCAATCATCCCTCTGAACCACTGCAGAACGGCCTCCGTCTCCATCTCGAGATCTGCGGTTTGCAATTATTTCCGGAATCATCCGCCTTGATCCTCGAAATGCTATCGTCGAAAAGTCGTGAACAACCAATATGACCGCACGCCAGCAGTCTTCACAACTTATCACGTAGCCATCCTTTCCTTCTCTCGCCGACTTCTTTGTCTCACCAAGGTACATGTTGTTTACTCAGGGTATCACCTGAGTTGGAGTGCCAACAAAGGTCTTCTAACGCCACGGGTAGGTTCTTATCGCTCCTTGCCCATCGTCAGTATGTCTAGCGGATTTGAAAGGGACTATAGGTGGGCGAGCACCTGCTTGACCAAGTGTGGAAGATCCAATCGAAATTCGAGTTGTGTTTCTGTTATATATTCTAGTAGCAGGTCTCTTTTAGTAGGTGATGGTGCGTAGTGTTGCTGTTGCTTGTGCTTGTTGTGGCCCCCCCCCGAGGTTCTATTTGGTGATTTTTTGTGGTTCTGATTGCCGTTATATGACCTGCTTGAAGAGATCGAGATGACGGTTTTGTTCTTCTGCAACGAGATTTACCATGTGCTTCGTGGTTTATCTGATGGGTGGTGTGTGGAACCGAAGGGTCGGGTTCGGAGGCGCCGTGAAGTGCTAGGTACGTGTAATAGAAGCAACCTTGTGGAGATTCGAAGCCATGCCCTTTGATTAGATGTATTTCCCGACAAAGGTTTCGTTCATGGCATCTGTATTTCGTTCGAGATCCCATGGCTGATACTTGTGTTGATTAGTACGACTGCGATTCAGATAGGTTTATCAGAATCGGACGACACCAACCAAGAATTACACCCCGCGGACCATCTTGTTGTTCTCCTTCTTCGGGAAATATCTACCGTGATCTCGTTTTGCGCCCAGGGTGAAGCCCAGACGGAGAAGCCGGTGCTTTAGTGGTACTTGTTCTGGATGTACATCACGGCGGTACGTTTATCATCAGTGTACAGCCGAGTAAGTTGTGCGAGGTTTCGGTGTTCCTGCACCTATCAATGTCAAATAATGGTCAGTACTGCGTTTGTCTTGAGATGGGATGGCGTGGAGAGTACATACATCCACGAAAGTTGACTACAACACCGCGATATCCCAGGCCGCCTTTTCAACGGGTGAGATGCAGGGTAGAGAATTGATTTCGAGAACGTATCTGTTCGTAGGAGCTGGATTGGATTCAGATCGTTTCTGGGAGAGACATGAACCCTGAAACCGCGTACCTCCAGTTAAACCATGCATAACTAAACAATGCTTGGTGTATCTCTTTCGCATTGAGAAATTGGATGGGGTGATGTTCTAGAGAACTTAGATGGGTGATTTCAGTATCTTCTGGTTGGCTTAGAATAGCTGGGGACGTACAGCGTTCCACCATGTATGTTCGCTTTGTGAGGTGCTAGCCGGTATGTAAGTGAGTTTCTGATGAGTTGAATAACAAGCCACCGAAGGGTACCGGTTATAAAAACTTTGTGCCGGTCTTCGGTAAATCCCAAAGAACACAGTCTGCGTTTGAAAGGTGCCCGCTATGAACAATGTTTAGTTTCATCGAGATTGCGAAAAGAAAATAAAACATTCGACTGACTTGAACAACCACCACGGTGCTCTAAATGTCCTTGTACAAGCTCGGATGCTGTCTTTTCCTCCACAAACTGCTTCGCAATTTATCGTCTGATTCTCTCCATTCCAACGGTAATCTTTCTAAAGAGCAGTCCGACAGGTTTGAGGGGATAGATATCTGTGATTTGCCGTGTGCGCTAATGAAACATTTCGTGTTTCGGCCACTGGCGATGAAGGCGGCGGAAGCGGATTATGTTAGTGAATTAGGATCACTGGCTCTCGTTCGCAAAACGAGGCAATAAAGTGTATCTTGGCGTGATGGTGGTGGTGCAAACAGTTGAGGTGAGATTGTGGCTCCTCGGGATCATGAGTGGATGGATGAGTGTGCATTTTTATGAAGAGCGTGTTGATGCGGACGGCTGTGCGCAGGAAAACGTCGGCCCTCGGGTATCTTTATTACCGTACATACAGAGCAGAGACACTACTTGCACTACTATAATACACTTTCAAGAAGTCAAAGCTCTCACAAGGGGTGGTTCCACTCTCAGTGGAACATTGTAACAGGAAAACCTTCAAACCATGCCTGTCTGACGACTCTGTGTAGAACTCTGCATACGATCCCGTCCTTCTCGAGGGCTATGGCCCTTGCAGCGGAATTACTTCCATTACCGGCGTCCGAACAATCCGATTCCAAATCTTCGAGTTCTACGTCGGATTCATGTTCTTCAGAATCATCGGTCGCGATGGATCCACAGTCAGATTCCGAATCAGAATTCTCTTCTGCCCTGTACTCCCACCATAGATATATGTTTGTCAGTCGTTGAACATCTTCAGCGCGTTCCGATGTCGTGATTGAGCGTGTGTTCCTGGACTCTGCAACAGCCAAGGCATCGTCAAAGAGCTCCTCTATGAAGCAAGGACGAAAATTGAGCTCTCGTACTTCAAGCCACTTCAGCTTGGGCGACGGAATATCAGAGTGTCTTCGGAGGCCAGGCTTCAGATGCGCCGTTTTTAGACTAGCCAATAAGTGTGCGGTGCATGGAGAGATGCCAACGATGGGGGCGAATGAGGCGTAGCGGAGATGAGTCAAGTTTGGTAAATTCTGGGCGAGGATCGTCATTTCGGACTCGTGATACGAGACAGGGTCGGATTCGAGGGTCAAGAACTGCAAGAAAGTTGTGCATCGGTGCAAAGGGGCTGTGACGGCGAAAGGTAGCGTGTAATACGGTTGCCCATGGTCGCTCAAATCGTGTCCGTAAACATCAAGTTCGTTATTGATGTAAAGGCTGACGAGCGCAGGTATTCGGAACGAATTGAACAGCCAGATCCATTCTTCCATTGGATCCCAGTAGCAAGTAATCTTGAGGTATCGTAAGAATGGTAGTTCCAGGTCATCGATATTCCCTGGTATCCCCCTGTCCTTCCACATCAAACAAGCGCTGAATATCTCGAGTCTCGAGTTGCTTGCTAGTACATCGCGAAGATGAGACATATCCTCCACCCCACCGAGCCTTAGGCCTGTGAGGGCATGCTGATTGTAGGGCGATAGGTTGAAATGTCCTGGTAAGCCTTCTTCTTCAGACACGTAGGTGAGATTTGGCGCGCGGCGGATAGCCCGCCAAAACCAAGCAGATTTCGAGTCCTGATCATCGTCCACGCTGACATCATGCGAAAAGATGTGTAGTCGGGGAAAGGAGATGAGCGACATTCCGGTAACGTATGGAGATAAAGCCTCCCAGCGAACCTGTAGCTCTAGGCTCGCGCACCGATGCATTTGTCGGAGAATTGAACGATATGCGTCAACAGTCTTCTTCTCAAGCCCCTCGTGATATGCTCGCACCGAGGCGAATGTCCCACAGCGTCTTCTCGCGTCCCAAATGCTGATGTGTAAGGGAGCCTTGGCCGAATACCGGAGATAAGTTCGTACGAGAGGCCTAATATCGGTCTGTTGACACTGGTGATAGATGTCGAAGGATATGGTAGACCATAGACGTGGACGAGAGGTAACAATCTTCCTCCATGCCGCGCAAGTAAGGGATAAGGTGTGTGCTGTCGCTTGGATCGGGCCTTCGTGAGGGATGTGGAATGGGTAGTAGTTTCGAGTATCACATTCTCCGAGTATGATTGTGGGGCATGCTAGAGTGAATATCTCGTCCCAAACTTCGACAGGTATCCTGCGCAGTCCAGATACCATAGCTTGTCGATTTGATAGTCGCTCTTCCGCTGCTTTCCTGCCCTCCTTCAGCTTGTCCACGGCGTCCTGGTACCATGAAATCTTCTCGTCATACTCCTTCAACAATTCTTTCTCATCCTTGATCATTTCATGGGTTTGAGCGGCTTCTGCTTCTGTAAGAACGTAGTCTGAACGAAGGGCATGGGCGGGAATGGGTTGATTGGCGATGCGCTCAATGTATGCGTGGTAGCCGTTAGAGTGTGCCGTACGTGTCAGCATTCTATCGCCATTCATTGCTAAAATGATCGTCAGTTGGTATTAATATCGATCATAGACTGATTACAGCCTACCTGAGAGGTTAGGCGAGAGTGACACGTTATAATCCTTGTCGACGGGTGAAGAAGCAGAGTGAAGAAGTGATTTCCGTTGCTTCTTCAAGTTGTAATCGAGAGCAGTGCTGAGAATAAATGAAGCAGAATCGGGGCTTTGAGTCAAGTTGAGGATGTGGTAGCAGATCAAGAACGAGTGCTGACGCGTTCACGTCCGCCTTTCCCAAACCTTTAAATTTCCCAGTGGGCAGCTGCAGACCTGGACCATGCGATTGAACGGAGCTTCATGCATCATGAAGTGGAACGAGTCTGGGGCACCCACGGGGTTTCTCTACTACTATGGCTGGTATATATAGTATAATTGCGAGTCCTGCAATTCAAGGTGCAAAAAGGTAAAGGAACGAACAAGAATATACATGTACACTAATCAAAGTTGACAGGAAACTTGTCGTACGGCTTTAAGTACTGCTGTTCAACTCTGCATATCATCCCAGTTTTCTCCAGAGCCACCATTCTAGCTACAAGTGAATCGACATCAGCTTCCGAGTTTACACAGCTCCAGTCAGAACCATCGGATGCTAGGTCGGATCCACTGTCACTGTCAGAGTCGTCTCCA